GAAATTCTGCCGAGCCGCTGCCTTTAATAGCAGAAACATTGTGTTGAATATGGCTTCGTCATATTTGTACATTATTAAGCTTCTACAAACTTTGATATCGAGTCCTGTCGTTGCCAGCAAGGATGCTGATCGGAATAGCAACAATACCCCTACGGTAGGTTGATTTTTTTGCCGATAATAGTAACTACCTAGTAGAATGCTGTAGATGACATACTCAAGAGTGTTCGAGTTTCAGCCGGATAACTTGATATCACGCGCAGCATCCGCAGCGCGGCCGTCACCACCGGCACAGGATGACATTCCCGACCTTGCAGCTTTGCGAGAAATCGCGAGACAACAAGAGGAAGGTTGGTGATGGTGTACATTTTTGTTGCTGAAATGGCACCAACTCGTTCGCCTTCATTTTTCATTTTTCATCGCAGATTTGATCATTCTTATTTCGCATTTGAACTTATTTTACTTCTTCCCTTGTTTTTTGCATGTCACGTTTTGATCTTGCAATAAGAAGTCTTACATTCCAGCTTTGCGCCAGGCGGTAGAGCAGCAACAGCACGGATATGTTGAACGGAAGCATTCATGGCAAAATGATGCTCTGTCGGTTAGTGTTTTTCATAAAGAAGTTCGCTCTTCGTCTTATTTGGAAGAATTATCCACACAAACACAATCATCAACACACAGTTTCTCACTTGCAGAAGAGTGCACACTCGTCAGCCGGTTCACTTGTCAGCAGCAAGTCCGTGGATGTCCTTCATAAAACTAATGCGAATCCTTCGGTAAGTCATGTTGTTCCAGATGTTGTGCGAAGCGCTTTTACTAGCTTGCAAAACCTCGGGATTACGTTATCTTTGGGATACTCTTTTCATATGTTCTGAATGTTGTGGATTTTGTACTAGAGGGGGTTCACAAGCACTAGATGTTGCAATATTTCTGTAGCGGTAAGCAGTGACGGGCTTTCAGAAAATTTTACATTCTCATGTGTTAGTTCGGAGCTGTCCTAAGCTAAAATGGCACATTGAAATGATAGTTGTCGGGTTTGCGGAAAGAACCAAATACCTCAAAACAACTTTCTGACTTCCTTTACAACTTCGTCTCATTTAACTTTACACGACTAAGACTTGCATGGGTGTAGGAAGACCGAAATTAGAATTATCGCGCGTTAGGAAAAAGTTCGGACCAGATTTTATCTGGAGAGTTCCCGACACAAAATGCTTGTCTTGTCATGGGGTGCGGCGGTGATAGCGGCAAAGTACAGCCACAATAGCTTTCTATCAAACCTAATGCTGAAGCAATTTATCCTTGAAAAACACAGCAGATTCACACGGTCATGATTTATGAGAGCCGCAGCTATGCATAACAAAAATGACTGAAATTATCAAGGTGATCTGTTATAAAACATAGGCATATCTGCTATTAGTTGTGGTGTCAGACACCTAAGATCGTTTTCCTTTTTTTATCAGTTTCAAACAATTTCTTGTTTTAGAGAATTCCTGCTCCTACGCGTCTGCCCAGGAAGACTGGAATACCTGCACCAGCAAAAAGGTTGTTGTTCACTTCCAGTATCAGTTCTTGTTTGTATTCTATGAAGATTGAGTAGTGAACTAAATCAAGTCGCTGCTAATTTTTAAGATACTCAAAATCCGTTCTTATAGAGATCGGGCTACTCAGACGGGTAAGCTTCACTTTTTTATCTGATACAAAAGATCTATTCGCGATGTATCACCCTTGATTCTCGCTTACTCACGAAAGAGCTAAATAAGTAGGATGACGTCTGAATTTCACTTCATCGCGAAGAGTGAAGTCCACTTCAGACGGCTTCCAAAGCACGAGTTACCTCTAAACTAAGCTCACGCAGCATCGTTGCGTGTTGTTTCGCCTCAGCTGTGTATTGTGCATCCTTCGTTCTTGAAATGCTTTCCTTCATCAGTTTTACGGCTTTTCAGAGTTGGAGCTGCTGTACGCTGTGCTTCGGCCGTCCCACAGCCTGCCGACGATGACGAGTGCTTCTGAAGATTCTGTTGCGTTCAAATCACTTGTGATGTCCTTTTCCAGCATGTCATTTCCACGAAACGGAGGTAAATTTCAAATCTTTTTCTTGAAATGAAGTTTTTATATATTATTTTTGTCCTAGGTAACACTTCGTGAATGTCTTTTCGTATGGGTGCCTATACGAGCTTCCTGGAAGATACTATTCCGATGTTTTTTTTTGTTTTTTTTTCTCTTACTTTTTGATTATATGACGATTGCAAGAAGAGGAAGTTCTTCTTCTTCACTACGCTAATGACGATACGAGTTTATCGCTTCTCTTTCGCATAGCAGGTCGCGTAGAGTCAGTTTTATTTGCTTTTGCCTATTCAGTTTACTTGTGCATGAAATTTTTATCGAGTCATTATTGCCCTTTAGTC